TTCGATCATGGGATTGATCACGGATATGGTTCTCATCATGCCTCGAGGGAATTTCAAAACGAAGAATCAAGTCATCCCCAGAAAGAAAAGAAAATGTGTGATAAAGGGAGGTCAGAGTGTAGTATCTGTTCGATCATGGGATCGATCACGGATATGGTTCTCATCATGCCTCGAAGCGAAATGTGCCTAGAGCTGGTAGACCTATGCAACCGATTAGTAGAATTTTCAGACGGGCAGAGGGAAGAGGAGATAATTGTGGTATTAGTAAGTTTTGTCTTGATGTGTGGCTTGTTTGTGCTGTTGCAAGGCCGGGTGGTTGGTTGGAAAAGGAGTAAGATACTGAACGGGGCCGAAGGAGGCAAAAGACCTAGTGACAAATTAGTGAAACCATCAGAGGAAAGGATAGGAAGACGACAGTATTTTCTTATCCCAATAGTAATTTTGTTTGTGTTGTTTCAAAGGTCAGATATTGTGGGTTGAAGAAGGAAAGGAGGAAAGAAAGAAAGAAAGAAGAAGTCAGATGCCGAAGTGAGATTTCGAATGGTGGTGAAGGAAGCAGAGGCCCTGGTCAAGAATTAGTAAAGCTCACAGAAGAATGTACAGGAAGACGATTGTTTATGGCTTATGGAATGTTGCTCGATGTTATCTCTTGGTGCGTTGTTGCAAGGTCAGGTGTGGAAGAAGAAGAAAAGAAGTGAGGTGTCGAAGGTAGTGAAGGAAGCAGAAGACCTAGTGACAAGTTAGTCAATTGTCAAAGAAGAAGAACACAGGAAGGAAGGGGAAGGTCTTGTGTAGTTCTCTCGTAAAGGAGGAGGATGTAAGTGTGGTTGTTAGATGAAGAGAATGATGGTTTGGTGTTTGAAGGTGGAAGACTGTATAAGGCATATGATATGGAATGATGATGATGGATGTTCAAAGGCATGAGAAGAAGAAGCTGATGCTGAAGCTTGTGTGTGTGTGATGATGATGGAGGAAGGAGGAAGATGCAGTAGAGGTGGGAGGGAGGAGTTTCTTTTATAGGTTTCTGAGGACCCCAGGAGCTGGCTGGAGTGATTGTGAGTCACTGACAATAGAAGCGAGAGCATCCTGAGAGAAACAATAGTGAAAAGCTGCAGCTATGGAGCAAGTATCATTGGATTTACCAAAATTCGTCACTGGGAGGTGTGTGATTGTTGGGGCGGCGGACGCCTGGGTCGAATTTCTCGGGCTGAGAACGATGTCACCTCCTGCATCTACGGCAGCGCAGTAAAAGCAGAGATATGGGCCTCTTGAATTGGAAATAACACTCCTCTTTGGCCTGGAATTGCTCTTACTAGATTGGACTATGATATTAAGGGGTAATTCAAGTATTGGATCTGGTTTGGTTTTGAAATGTAAGACTAGGAAGTGAAGCTCGCGAAGGCTGCGTAGAAGTTGGATATACTAGAGTAACTAGAGCAGTTAGGCAGATCTGGAACTCTTCTACAGGTCAAGGGCAAGGCACAGGCCACAGAGAGGACTTCGTGCCTAGCCAGGCCTCGCGAGTGCCCAAGCCAAGTGTGCATGATTTCGTGGTTTGGAAATTGCCAAAAAGCTCCATCAGTTATATTCTGAATTGTATTATTCAATTCACCAAGAACACCTACACTCGAGGAATCGGGCATACGGGTGTGGCAAGCTGGCAGATGATCAAGCGCAAGTGGGTGGGGAAAGGGGGGCTGGGCAGGCGGACACTCGCCTGACGCATAGCATCGCCCACTCCTGGTGATCCAAGTCTAGAAGTGAATCAATGGCACTCTTTTCTTAGGTCTTGATGAATGGGTCTGGCCTCTCAAGGGCATTGCATTAGGGAATTTACTATTGTTTCCTTTTATTGAAGCAAGGGATTAAGAGACCTACTCCTTACCCAAAAGAATGACTACGAAGATACGTACAAGAAGCCCAATGTCAGCATTCAACCATGGTGAGAATATTGTCAGAAGAAATGGATCTAGAAATGGTTTCGAGAGACAGGTGGCTGCCCTTCAGTGTTAGGAGACCAGGGCGGGGCGGATCCCTTTGGAGAAAATCTGCCGTTGCCGTTTGCTGGCTGGCTGAGAGCGACTCAGTACCTGATAATGCCTGCCTAAAATTCTCAAGTGACGAGAGTACGGCTAGAAAGTGAGTGATAACGCCATATTGCTTAGTTACGTCGAAGGGAGCAGTCACTGTCATCGGAATGGGATAGACTCTTGCTAGGCTGTGAAACATTTCTACGGTAGTACCACGGACCGTGGAGTCAGATCTCGACGCTTCCAGGCGTATGACCGGGGGTACGAAGAATGAAGGCGGAAGGGAGGGGTGTGTGTGCAAATCATCTAGTCAAGGGTGGGGTGGGAGTAGCCGTTGCAGCAAACCACAGGTGAATGGCCGCTTGGGTAAATGGAAGGTAGCGGGGATCAGAAGGACAGGTGGCTATCTGATGCAGTATTCACGCTGTGATGACAAAGTAGGTGCCTAGTGCTAGGCTTTACCAAGGTAATATGAAGCTTGAGTATCTCTCGAACCTGCCAGACCCCAATGTCCGTGACAAATTCTGATGGAGGAACTAAGTATTCACCAGCTATCTTAGTCTACAGGCAAGTGGGCAAATGCCCGTATTTGAAACCCCTAATCTAACGCTGTGTGTGTACGTAAATTCATGGGAAGAGTTGGCTGAGAGCTTCGTGGAGCTCGTGAAATTTCCCCGTCTCGAAATGGTTGGTTGTGCAGACTTCTGGTATAGAACATGGACTACGGGTACAAGAAAGCTTAATCGACCCTCAGAGCAAAAGCCAAAGAGTGGCAGGATGGCTCTGTGTGGTGGTGGATTTCGCTGTATTCGAGGCCATTATTGACGCCTTGTTCGTCGACGTATCGGACCTGGTGAAGAAAGTTTCTTCGCTGTTTCGTGCGGCAGGGGATCGTGTGCGCTTTCGAATCGTAGAAGGAGGTAATGCCTGTTGAGAATCATCATGCTAGTAAAATCGACTGTTAGTTTGGGGAGCAGGCTCAAAAGTAGCTCGTTCTGGGCACAAGTTCAATATTCTGGTCATGGAGATCATGGGCATCAAAAGTGAGCACCACTGTGGGCAGGAGCCAGGTACTGGTACGTTGACACGCAATTGGCGTACAGTACCTTCCCTCCATAGAAATTGCTGGCCAAACACGTGATCGCCTCGCTGCGTTCATCTGTGCCACTACCAGAACCCGTTAGGCCTCGTCTACAGGCAGCAAATATTTGGTCAACCGAAACTCACTACGAGCATTGATTTCTAGTTTCAAAACGAAATCCCGTTTAGTCTTCAGTTCTACGGCAGAGTCTTCAGTTCTGCGACGGAACATGCTCCTTGCCCAGAAGCCTTCTTTTGCCAAACCTTTTCCCTGTGCTTGTTGCACCACAATCGAGAGCTTTGGCAAGCCGGAGACCACACAACCACCCAGCTTGTTCTAATCCCACGAGTGATATTCAAATCACCTGAACTGATTGGCGGGAAAACGAAAGAGGAAATACGATCGAATGTGCTTCATCCTTTAGCCTTGCTGTCCCTGCGCTGCGGACGCTCAGATAATGCTTGACGATTCGTCCAGAATCCGGTTGAGAATCACCATATAGCTACCCCATCCAATCTTCTTTACTTGCAGGACTTAGCTGACCTAAATTATGACTGTCATAGGCTGCCACTGTTTCGAGCTCGGTTTCTCCCCGAAGAGTGCAATGCGCCCCTTACGAGCCCCTGTTCCACTGATGCCACCCCCACGACGGAAATCTCACATGAGAGTTTGTTATAATTATTCCATCATCTAAGGCTTTCGGTCATTGTCTTAAAGTCTGGGGGTACTGGTTGTCGGCAGAAAAAGGGGTGGCTTCATCATGTGCCGAGGGGGTGCTGGAGGTCTTTTTTTCTTAGGAGGGGGGGATTCTAGACACACAGAAAGGCTGAAAATATCATGGAGCTTTGTTAAATACTAGATCGTGGCCCATCGAGACCAGATTCTCAACTACGAGCCTCCACTGGCCAGGGTGTTCAAGATGTGAGGTACGGCGAGGGGAACCTATGTATCATCTACAGATGTTAACCACCAAATCGTCCGCATAGCTGTATGTCTTCAGGGTCTAAAATGCTATTGTTTCTAATGTAATGCAAAATATCAAGTGTCCTGCCTACTTTATGAAGCCACCTTGTAGCAATCCCTGAGGCCTAGAGCGAATCACCCATACATCCTATGTCTGTGGTCATCTTGGCCCTTCTTGAACAACTTAAACTAGCACTTATTACATCTGCTCGGGTTCAAGAGGTTTCAAAATCTATGTTTAGCACACACCCCTCATATTCTTTGAGATAACTACCATACTGTAGGCCTGCTCGATATCACAGCATTTCCAAATATATGCGGCAGTGTCGGAGCATGCAATGCAGATCCGTGTGATATCCATCAGAAATCAAATTGAAGTGTATTTCATAGATCCCCTAATCAGCTCACCCCGCCCATTTCTAAGCATTACCGATACAACAGCTTTCTGGATCTACCACAGATGCCACAATAGGCAGAGAAAGCATCAATTCCCTCCGAGGAATTGGATGTCTTGAGATATCGCGTGCATAACAACGAGAAGAACACTGAGTCCTCCATCAGGCGGGAATGGGTAGGGGACATCGGTGAAGCATATTGTCGCCAGAACTTCATCAGCCATCTTCTCTTTCAAGGCATACGGGCGGATTCCAGTGATGATATTTCGTGCGTGCCTGTCGGAAAAGGGATTCCATTGGTATAGATTGTGTTGGCCCCGTAGACGATCCCTGGCTTGTCGATATTACTATCAAACGGGAGCATTAGTATCTCTGCCATGTAGCAGTTGGAAGTAAACCAAGAAACCTTACACCTGCCAATAACATAGCACCCAACCAGATGCTCTACAGTTGTGTAGACATGGCCCAGCGCGAGGCGGAATCAAATCTTCGACCGACTTTGGACGACGTTCGAATATACCCCTCTCAGCCTCAAATACTGTCCTGGTATGTCTCCTGTAGCCTCCTGGCGAGAAGTTTGGCGATCTCGATCTCGATTCTTGCAGTGACATACGCAGCTGGGCCGCAGTCACCCTCATCGAAACGCAATGTCGACGCGAAAGGTTCGTGCTCCGATTGACGTCTTGTTTCGGGGTCGGCAGCGTAGTGCTGCGCCAGTAGTAGGTTGACTCTGCGTGCGACGAGTCTTCCGAGAACAAATCTTTCGAGGCTTCGAATCGTGCAGATGTTGTTCTGCCGTGGCTATCCATTGTGATATCTGCTCAAAAGACATGTCAGTATCCAATAATGAAGAGTTAGAAAGCAATACGTACCTCAATCAGCTACCTTTCTGCTTCTCTCAGAGTGTTCCTGACGGTTTGGACATGGCCAGGTAATTTTTTCCAGGGACTTCTGTTCGGCAATGCTGGGCGCATCATCAAAATAAAACGTCATAAGACCGGTTGAGGAACGAGGACTCGGGGCCTTGGGTGTAAAATTCGTTGACGCAAACGCTTGCAAGAAAAAAAGAACACAAGGACAGTGAAGCTGATGTGCTGGTTGGGTACTCTTCCAACTGCGTACGGGTGGACTTTGGTTTGAATTCGGAAAAAGGGGGTCGAGGACGAAACCACCATACCGGCAAAAAAGGCACCTTAGGCTAAGCCATCTAGGTGCTTCACTACCTAGTGCTTGCTCTAGTAATCTACCCTTCAAAACATATTTTACCTTCGATTGATACGCTTGCTTACTAGTCCGGGTGATTTTTGATATCACTGACCTGCCTGTTTATGTACCAATGCCATGTCCTTAGACGAAGCTCTTGGACCAAGATCCAAGCCCAGAGACAAGTCCAAGATCTGATGCATTCAGATATTGGCATGCTCAGGATAGAATCATGCGGCTATCCTTCCCAGTCAACCTACATTGAGTACAGTTGTAGACCCCTTGGTCAACCGACCGCGGTTATGGTCATTGAAGGCTTACAAAGCTCCTCCAGCGGAAGTCACGGGCCAGGGTATCACGATGGATGTAGAAGTTCAGCGTCTCCATTCTCTGTCCCTTTAGTCACAAATCAAATCAGCTCATCTCACAAGAACGCTCAAAAAGGCTTTCTGATCTACATTCAACATCAGCTCTACCGAAGCCAGTATATAAACACCCCTATTCTCGGGGAAAAGCTTGTCAAGAGTTTCCTAGCCAGAGATTGCCCGGATGAGCTTCTCGTTGCCGGCCTTGAGAGTGATGCAGTCGAGTCTTGTGGCCCTCTCCGAGGTGCCTGCCGGTAGAATGCCAATGTCGCACTCTTGATTCACGAGATGGACGACAGTAGTCGTAACCTGTGTTTGGGCTTGCTCGCCTTGGGCATTGACGTCAGGAAGGCGCAGGAAGTGGGAATAGAGGAAGGCAGCTATACAGGAGCAGCTCCAAGGAGAGCCACTGATGTATAGCTGTTTGGTGGATGCAGTGCAACACATTGCTCTCACAAGGATAAAACTGACCAAGTGTGAAATAAGATGGATATCTACATATTGGTAACTAAATTACACAGGGTCTTATCCTTTCTGCAGCCCTTCTGTTGTTTTCTGGCCGTGGGAGGTGGAGCCGCCATCGAAACGCCTTCGCGGTGGCGCACGTTCCCTCCTCTCTTACCGACGTCGTGCTTTGTTGTGGCTGTTGACTGAACTGAACCTGAGCTGACGCGCCTTCCTTCTTCCCAAAGCCGTGAGTCACTCTGACCTCTGCTTTCCTCAGCTCCGCTCCTCAACCCCATTGGTTTCTCTCCTTAAATCCACACGGCGACAAGTCTCCCTCTTTGCATCCCAAATTATCAACTCCTAGAACACAATCATTGAACCCCTTTGGACTGAGAATTCATATCCCTTCTTGCACCTCGCTACCTCGCTCGCATCAACAAACCTTCCACAATGGGCATCTTCAGTTCCAAGTCGGCCCGCTCACTTTCTCCCACCGAACTTGCAAGCAAGTCCGACGATGAGCCTCCCTTCGTCCCCAACACCAATGAGAGAAATGGTTCCACCGGGAGCAAAACCAACGATGGGAAGTCTGGCTTCCTGATTTCGAGAGCTGTTGTTGACTCCGGCTCTGTAATGAGTGGAAGTGGTCCGAAATCCATCGAGGACCGCACCCGAGACGGCAATTCCTCTGCCATCGGTCACAATTCCTGCCCAACAAATCGCCGGTTCGGTTCCCACTTTCACCGCCGCCGTAGTTCGGTTTGCAACGTCCCTCACTCGTCTCGTGAGGCAGCTGATGATTACTTCAGCACTAAGCATCACACCGGGTATGTGACAAGTAACCAAGCAAATAAGGATAGCCAGCTAACATCCAGACACTAGCTCCGGCATCTCCTGGTCCGATAAGGCCTACAACAAGATTACACCTGATCAAAAGAAAGACAAGAAGTAGTTCTCCTTTTTGTCGTCTTTTTCTTTCCGGTCCAAGTCTTGACTTCTAAGGCATGGAAGCTCGCAGAGCAACGGAGGATACGCCAAGATGCCATAATGGAATGGGGAACTGGTTGATAAGACGCCTGGTCACACACTTGTCTTGTCTTGCTTTCGGGCTTTAATGAGCCGCGTGCAATGATCACTGAAACTTTTGGAGATGGGCTCACGCTCATCTATGGAACATCAGAGACACTACACTAAATCTTAGAAAAGCAAAAAAAAAATACACAGCACGATTAGTGTCCATTTTCATCACAAATAAGTCCTCGTAGATGTGATTTGTGCCGTGCCATGAATCTCGCGCCTAAAGTCCTGTACTTTCTGTCTCAACGCCAGCAACCCACCACCAGCCAAAACCGCCACACCAAAGTTGGCTATTGCTACGGAGCTACATCTACCATTTTGGGTATCTCACCTGGCCTCTCCTCGTCCAACTCTAGTGCGTAGAGTAGGTAGATCAAGTCTCAACATAACCATCTCGAGCAACTCATCTACAAACACAAACACGACTCTTTGCCAAACCACTCCCGTAGCCCGCCTACCAAATGCCCTCCCAAAACCCCATGCAGCAAGCCACCTGGCACCTTCCGGTCTGTCCTCCGTTTCTTCCTCCTTCCTCTGACGAGCACCTCAGACAACAAGTTCAATGTTGGCAGGCACCAACTGTCGTTCGCAAGCGTATCCAAAAAGGGGAAGGATTGGCGAACAGGTGGGGCGGTGGCCCACAGTCAGTCACGGGGAAAAGCGGGTGGGTCGTCGACGACACGGCCCAGTCGAGAACAATGCGAGAACATCAACAACCCTTCCTTCTACCTGCCTACCTCCCCAGGCCCTATTGATTTTGAGGAGGTGAGAACCTTGATGATTTATGCAGGAGTGGGTCTAAGAAGAAACTAAGCACATGCAAGATCTAGCCTGATGATGTCCTTGCACGATGCCATCATCCAGAATTCCAGATGCCGAAGCTTGGCACCAAGTGAGAGGGAAGATATTTCCAAAACATGGCAAGTATCTCTTGCATGAGAAAATTTAGACACATCAAGATCTCGTAGGCGTCTTTAGATATGCAACGCTTGATATGCTCTATAAAAATCCAAGAACACTGCTGAGTAGTGGGAGTGGTGGAGGGCAGCCTCAGCAGAACAGAGGCATCGGGGAATGAGCTGGCTTGCACATGTGGGATGTTTTTCGCCTTGCAGAAGAACCTTTATGAAGACTTTATGAAAATCAAATGACAGCCAATTTAACACGAACGGCAAATACTTCGATCGATTTTCACGGTCCTCCTCTCTGCCTCTACGATCTAAATTCTTCGCATATGGCTCACATTTGCTGGCAAGGAGAACAAGTAGAGTAGCATTGCTATTACAAAACTATCAAGCAATATTGATGTAGCTACCTCGATTGACAATTTGGCGTGGCACAGAGATGTTCTCGCTCCCCCGATTTCCCTTCAGTGAGATGGAGATCATCGACCAAAGCTCCATCAGTTCTCGTCTCGTCTCCTTCGCAGTAGTGATCTCGTGCTACTGGTTATTGGTTCTCTGGTGTCAAGATCTCCCGACAATGATTCTTCGCCAAGCTTTGCTGATTCGTCAAATGAGTAAAATCATTTTATCCTCTTGGGGCCTGCGAGAGGCAAATCCCTCGTTGACCCAAACTTCTCTGAACCACGCACATTGACTTGTACCATACCCATCTGTTCGGGGCGAGCCAACTCACAACTTAGCAGGTAGTCTGATAGAAGTCTTGTACCTCTCCAATACATGAGCAGCTGAGCTGCTTGGCGGGCGTCTTTATCGAACATCCTGGAGGAATCCGACCAGTGTCACAAATCCGAAGATATCTAGAAATTCCGTTATTATTCGAATGGATATGCATAGACGGTAGTATGGAGAAGCAAATACCAGATGTAGCCATAACAAACAGCGAAGCTCTTGAAAAAGTTCCAGCAGAGTCTGCCGATCGTAATGTCGTCGGTCCACGACATAATTTTCAGGGCCAACATCTGGAAAGCCATGGTATTTTACCTGGTCCTGCTTACATCCTGACGCCTCTGCGCTCGGTAGTGGCCTGTCAGCCTAGTGGGGGATTAGCATGAGAATTCAACTAACATGAGGGCGCACGTAAGCCATCTATCACCTTTCGAGGCCAGAGGCTCGACATATTTGCCCTTCCGGCCGGGCCCTGAGGTCCAGTGTATTTGGGAACCTGATAGTGCGCGGCGCGGAAAGTGGAAGAAGAATAGAATCGGATCCGTGGAAACGATACATGATGGTGACGGCAGAGTAGAAAATGAGATCCAGGAGTAGGTGGGGATAGATTTGTAGGTGTAGAAGATGTTGGAAGCGAGAAAGAAGTGGCCAAGGTGCAAGATGGAGAAAGCTCTACAACAATTCAGCAGAGTCGCTCCTTCCACATTCCTACTACACTCCCGAAATGCCTCGCGCGTAAGCTTTTTGACTGAAACAGAAACTATGGAAACGGGACAGTGTCTCCCATGCTATGCAGTACTGTCGCAAATAGTCGATGCCTGTCAACTTAATCCGTTACCAGCGCGAGCCTTGAAGGAGTTCGTTGTTGCGTATTGTGCCATTTTTTATCGGGCTCCCTGGACTCCTGTTGCTTAGGGTTTCTTCCTCTTGGATTCAAAGGAACGAGCTTCCCACGCCCGCAAATAGGTCGTCTACCTAGGTGGGACACAAACTACGCAGAATTCTTGTTTCTTTCTGTCGACTACAAGGGTGACGGTATCATTCACAAAGGCAGGCTCTGGGTCGCTACAAATCAATGCATGGTACCTACCTTCCTGACGAAGCACGACTTCCTTCCAAAAATCGACCCAAACCACATCAACCGACTGTCTCTTAAGCCAGATATATTCACTTCCTCTCCCAATTCCTTTTCGATTATTTCCCTCTTTGTCTTGTAGTTAAGGTGCAAGTCATCCCATTGAATGTTACCATCTTTCTCCGAGTTCAGAGTCCTGCCACGAGGATGCAAGGAGAAGCTGCTTGAATGGGCAACCTACATGGGGGCAGCGGAGCTACGCGAGTTCATGACCAAAATCATGAATGCTGATGTGACAGTTTACGTGTACCAGCAAGTCAAGCACACGACAGCCCCTCCACACTAGTCCTGCAACCCGTGCTGGACCTGGGCAACCACACCCATGCAGGTAGCTCTACCGCCTGCCTTTGTATCATGACAGGACTGCAGGCTGAAGTACTGAAAAAAGCTCGACCTCCTAACTTCTCCGACAAAATGCTTTGGAATGTCGAACCTCAAACCACTCCGCCGCAAAAGATGACAATCCCCGTCCCACCAAGCGCCAGACAACACTGGACTCACTGTTGTCACTCCGCCATGACCCGACACCCACTTTCCAGACATCGGTGGCCGCGACAATCGTTACAGCGCCCGGCTCGACAGCTGCTATCACCATTGAGGTAGTATATAGACCAGCCGAGACACACGCCACGATACCACAGAACCCGTCGAACCATACGAGTCGCTCACGCTACCAGCCGTCCACCAGCTCAAGGTGTTTGGATCGACGCCGGAGAAGTGGTCACAGGTGTTCATTGAGCTGTGCACAGGAACCGCACCAAACTCGAAGAATAATACTCGTCCCAGCATCATCCGAGCGTTGACTAACAACGATCATGGGTCCGCTCAACCCACTCCCTTTGGTTACTGCTGGGGACTCTGGACATCCATCAAGGGCTGCCCAATCCGTTCATTGTTTCCGAGGGTGTGGCACACCAAATGGCTGCCACCAAGTAGCTACTGTTTATCTAAAACGAGCAAGTTCAATGGAGCTATATCCACCCAGCTTCTTGTGATTAAAGTTCAGAAAGCCATATCATCAGATCTCCTTGATGATACAGATGAACATTTGGATTTTAAATGTAGAGGAAAATTCTGCTTGGGATAGGATTATCTGAAAATTAATCACGGTGGATGTCTGATGCCAAAATCACGGTCTAGGGTAGGCACTCTTCCGTCTCATCCGGTGACCCACCGTTAATCCTTCAATGTTGATCGCTGTAAAGTACGTACATTAGGTAGCTAGGGGTTGATACCGACAGGCCTTCGGTAGACCCGGTCCCCGTTTTGGCCGTTGGGTCCAATCGGAACGATGTCTCTCGATCAAGATCTCATGCTGAAGGAACATATTTAGAAGGAATATATGCAATCGTCAAGAACAGAGGGTGCGATAACGCTGCAGGCTGGCCCCAGACGTGCATGACAGCGAGCCCAGTCATGGATGATGAACTGATTGCTAACGAGCTCTTTGGGCTCTGGTTCGTTGGGGCCCAAACCGTTTCCCCACTCCACCCTGAAGACGTCGAGTGCCAAACCTAGATTTGTCCTAGATCCAATGACAAGGGCCTCGATCTCTACACCAATCCCCAAGCGGACTGAGCCTCCATCATTTTGGACCCTGGAATCCCGGGACTCCCGTTAAGTTAAAAAAAAAAAGGACACACAGCATTCCCCTCTTTTACCGGTACTCGCCTGCCCTGCGTGGTTGTCGTGAAGGGGAAGTGCTTACGTGACCAGCAGCACGCCTGACTGGCCACAAGAGAGAACTGAGAGAACTGATCGAATCGCAATCCCCGGACGCGCAATGTCGGCCTCGTCGGAGCTGAAGCGCGAGCGAGAGGCCCAAGGGTATGCCCAGAGCTGGAAGGCTGCCCAAGGTTCCTCGCTCAACGTCGCCCTGAACGTCGACAGCATCGAGCTGTATGAGCTACGCGGCAATGGGTTCACTCCCCGAGCCGCCCGCGACAAAGCCCTCACGGCCTTTGCGCAGCTAGCCGTCTTTCGACTTGGCCTCACTCGAGGCATGATCTCGCTGATAGACCAGACCGCCCAGCACGTCCTCGCAGAAGCTACACGGAGCCTGAGGCTGGTAGACCTGGACGGACAATCCGACCACAGCTCCTCCCCGCGCCCGCCCAATGTGAGCGCAAATAGCAGTCCAAGCGTGAAAAGCAAGGCTATTGCGCATAATGATTTGTGGTGTACGTATTACTTTCTGGGCCAGGCTGGAGCTAATGTCTGTGGTTCAACTTGAAGTGCTTGAACTGCTGGCATCAGCTGTCCTGAAAATAAAACGAATTGGCTAATAGGAGATGTGTTTCATTATAGTGGGAGCGGTTATCGTCTCCCGAAGCGACGCCATCTGCGAGCATGCGTTGACCAGTACCTGCACGGCTAAAGATCCTGATTGTGATAGGACATACACAGCACCCGGTCTCATCATCTCTAACTGCCAGGATGACCCTCGGTTCTGCAACCGGCCGTACGTCAAAGCGGAACCTGGTATTCGTTTTTACGCCGCCGTGCCCATCGTCTCTCGAAATGGCCACAAGATCGGAGTCTACTCCGTCTCCGACGAGAAGCCACGCGACGGCCTGACCATCGATGAGCTGCAGTTCATGCAAGGAGTGGCGCAGGCTGTGATGGAACACCTCGAGTGGGCTCGAGATCGTGTCGATCGATTTAAGGGAGAACGAATCGTCCGTGGTCTCGCCGCCTTTATCGAGGGTTGCGCCCCGCTGTGTGACGAGTCGAAGGAGCAAGTTCCAAAGAGCCCGTCGACGGTCCGCCCCCCTGAGATGAGCTTGGTTGCAGCTAAACGCCCAAATATGACGCGGACCAATTCCCAGTTTCGAGGTGGCACTGTGAAGCTGAAGGAAGTTGACAAGCGCCGGAGAGCATCTTCAGTAGAACTTTCACAGACTGATACCGGTGATTCGGCAGAGCCACCACCGCCCGAGGCAACGCCATCACCACGAAAGAAAACAAGCAACAAGTGCAAAGTTGATGGCTTGTCTCGCATGTTCCATCGCGCAGCCGATATCTTGAGGCAATCTACCTTAGCCGATGGCGTTATTCTATTCGGAGCCACGACTACGGACAGCAAGGAGATGCTGCGAGCGTTGCGGTCAGGGGGGAATCGATCCGACGACGACGACGACGCTTGCTCAGCTACCCAATGTAACACTTCTGGGTCTGAGAATGGAGCTGGTCTGGATAGTTCGGATTCTGATACATCTCCCTCTGCAAGACCTTGCCAGATTTTTTCGTACTCCCTTGCAGACGAGAAGGCCCGCGCGGATATCGAACAAGGTACTGCTTTATCGCTTGGTGCTTTAGAAAAGTATTTTCGTCTCTTTCCACGAGGAAAGACCTTCTCGTTCACCGACGAAGGATCGGGTCTTTCTTCCGAAGATGATAGTGCAAGTGACCGCGAACCTCCACTTACACCCGATGAGAACAGCGAGCAACAATGTGGGCAGAGCCGACCAAACCGCAAGGTTAAGATGGACCACCGGGAACTACTGAAGAAGATCCCTGGTGCTAAGTCTGTTGTTTTTGTGCCCTTATTTGACCATGTGGATGATCGTTTATATGGCGGCTGTTTCCTCTGGACGTCGGTCAATGGTAGAATCATGAACCTCGACGCAGACCTGTCGTACCTCCGCGCCTTCAGCAATGCCATTATGAGCTCTGTCGGAAGAATCAACACACATAAGAATGAAGCAGCCAAGACGACATTCATAGCCAGTATTAGCCACGAGCTTCGCAGTCCACTCCATGGCATCCTAGGTGCTGCGGAATTCCTGAAGGACATGGCAGCTGACCCCTACCAGACAGCATTGATTGATTCTATTTCTATCTGCGGCAAGACTCTTCTCGACACCCTGAATCATGTGCTTGACTACAGCAAGATCAACCGATTGGGTGGACTGCAGATGCGAAGAGGCGTGAGGCAAAACAAACTTATAAATCTGAACCCGGATTCACTGGAGAGCATGAACATGACCGCTGTTGTTGACCTGGCAGTCGTTCTTGAGGAGGTAGTCGGTGCGATTTCTGCCGGCCATATTTTCAAGCTGCCTGGCTCCCATATATCGACAACCAACGATGGCCTGACGACGTTTTTACCTGCAGGGCCTTCAACCCCTGGTGCAGAGGGATCAGTTTCAATTCTACTAGACATCGACCATAAGATCTCCTGGATGGTGCGAACACAGCCTGGCGCTATACGAAGAATCATCATGAACCTCTTTGGCAACGCATTGAAATACACGTCAACAGGCTACGTCTTGGTATCTCTCCGAGGCCAACTGAATGCCGACAAGTCGAAGATCAACGCCCTGATCCGTATCGAAGACACTGGAAAAGGAATGTCGGAAGAATACAGGCGCAACAGACTTTTTGTTCCGTTCAGCCAGGAGGACTCGTTTCAGCCCGGCACAGGCTTGGGTTTAAGCATCGTAAAGCAAATTGTTGATTCTCTCCACGGTAATCTCGAGGTCAAGTCCGAACAGTACAAAGGAACTGAAGTGGACGTTCGCCTACGGTTCACCCCTGGACCATCTGGAGACTCAGCTCCTTTAGACGAGACAAGGCAAGCAACGGCTAAACGGACACGAGGGAAGCAAGTGGTTTTGTTAAAAGAATCGCAATGCCCAGAGACTCAAGGAAGCCCACCAACCTGCCAGAAGTTGACGGATACTCTGTCCGATACGTGCAAGAACTGGTTTGGCTTGAAGGTGGCTCAAGAAGGATCGATTGATGCTGCTAACGCTGATATTTTTGTGTACTGCGAACCTCCTCCTCACGGGATTCTCCTCAGACGTGTTCAGAATCTTTTGAAGACCTCATCAGGCGGAAAGATTCCCATTGTCATTGTCATCTGCCCGAATGCTGAGCAAGCTGTTCGCGTAAAACAATGTCAAGACGCATCTTTGAGAAGCCTGCCAGTTGTTGTTGAGGTGATCCCGCAACCGTAAGTTGTAAACATTCTATATCCACGGAAATATTATAGCTCTGGAGCCAACTAACTTGAAATTATAGATGTGGACCTAGGAAACTAGGGCGAGTGATCAGCCACTGCCTCGACACGGCTGACAAGATGGCTATCGGCCTTCCCCTGTCTCCTGAGGTCAGATTGCCAACGTTCCCGCTGCCGTCCCCGCCGCTCCCATCCGTCGCCCCTACGTCCCCGCCGCCCTTGAACCCCGAGACCCCATCACTGGCAGTGGAAGTCCCTGCCCCGCCTTCTCCCCCGGGCCCGAAGTCGGGCAACAACCTCCACCTCCTGCTGGTTGACGACAACAAGATCAACCTCCAGCTCCTCGTCATGTTCATGAAGAAGTGCAAGTTCACATACGAGGTGGCCGAGAACGGGCAGGAGGCCCTGGACAAGTTCAAGGCCGGGTGCCTGAACGGACCCGGAGGCGGGAGCGCCAGGCGCTTCGACTTCGTCCTGATGGACATCTCGATGCCGGTCATGAACGGCATCGAGGCGACCAAGCACATCCGGGCGTTCGAGCGCGAGAACAAGCTCCCGCGCTCCAACATCATCGCCTTGACCGGCTTGGCGAGCGCGGATACCCGGCGGGAGGCAGATGCCGCCGGGGTGGATATCTACCTCCCCAAGCCGGTCAAGTTTGCGGAGTTGAAGTCGCTGCTCTCCACGGAGTAGCGACTTCTTCCCGTCGCATGCTTTCGTTTTTTTTTTTTTTTTTTTT